ACACATTTCCTAAATTTTTTTAATAAAAATTGAGTTTTTTAAATAAAAATAATTTATTCTATGAATTTTAGGTTTAACAAAAACAAGGATAAAAAAATAATAATAAAAAAAATTTAAAAAAAAAGGGAGGGGAGAAATCAGGAAAGTAGAGGAGGAGAGAAAAAAAAGAAAAAAAAGAAAAAAAAGAGAGAAACGAAAGAGGATGAAATCAGAAAAGAGGGAGAAAAAGAAAAAAAAAAAAAGAAGAGAGAAATGAAAGAGAGGAGAGGTGAAATCAGAAAAGGGAGAGAAAAAATTAGAGAAGACGAAGAGAAGAAACAAAGAAGGGACGCGAAATAGAGAAGGGAGGAGAAGAAGAAGAAGACGAAGCGAAGAAGAAGGAGAACACAGAAGACGAAGAAAAATACCTTAGGATTTCTTCGATTGATCTCTTTTGAATAGGTTAGGGCTTCTTCCTTCAATCAATCTTACCCTCTCTCTCTCTCTCTCTCTCTCTCTCTCTCTCTCTCTTCTCCAATAGGTTAGGGCTTCTTTGATGCACCTCGTGCATGTCCGGAAAGTGTCATTGCGTGTCCACAGCATGTCCAACTGGAAAAATTCAAAAAAAAAAAAAAGGACCATGTTAGACAGTGTCGAACACGTGTCCATAGCGTATCCGACGCATGCCCATGTCCGACACTTGTACGCAGGCCTTGGGGACGTGTCGGTGCTTCATAGACCGGTACATATTGACCCCCTGAACTACGAAAAGCAGTGGCGTAGCCAGGACTTCCGTTTAGCGAGTTCATTTACCTAAGCATCATCAACGTCATTATATCATATTTTTAGTTCTACACAACCAAACAACATTAACATTCATATGATACTTTGTAAATTTCATATATTCTCAATTATATTGACATAAGTAATCCAAAATAATGTCAATTTAAAATGAGTGTAGAGTGCATTTTGCACAACACCAAGGAACATCACAAAACTATAAACCCCAAAATCTCAAAACTTCCCCCCCCTCCCCCCAAAAAAAAAAAAAAAAAAAACCCTAGTCTTTTTTCTTGTCAAATCCCAAATATTGATAAAAACTCATCAACACAATTGAATAATACACAGAGAAATGTCTTGAGTAAAATAAATATGACCCTGGTGGTGCCACATTCAAAGACCAAAGGACCAAAAATTGTGATTGCCGTTCCAAATGATTATCGACGTTGGAATCAAGATTGGGACCAAGAAGAATAAACAAATGGTGGGTTTTTTTGTAGAGTGCTAAACTTTCTTAATAAAGTTTGATTTTGTTTGTATATGTATAGTGAGAGTGAGTTTTTTTTCTTGGGCCCAATGAGTGTGGTCAATATCTAAAGTTTTCATAATGGGTTTTTTTTTCTTTTGATAGACCCATTGGGTTCATTGTGTAAATAGTCAACAATTTTGGATAAAAATTTGTACTCTAAATTTTTTTTGAAACTCAGTGGTGTCAACTGACACCACTGTTATAAGCATAGCTCCGCCTCTGACGAAAAAAGTACAAATACACCCCTTTTGGAGGTAGTCTACAGGGGGTGAAAGTATTATTTTTTTTTATAGTTGAGGATGTTAAAATGTACGGGTTCATAGATAAGGGGGTAAGGTGATATTTAGAAATAGTTGATAGGGGGTCTTGGTGTACATAACCCTTCTTCTAATCAACAACGATATCCCCAATGGTTGTTTAAACACTCTAAACTAGCCAAAATTCTATGGGAAAACGGATAGAAAAGTACAAATTAAATCAATCTATCTTTTGGCAAAGACCATATACTGGTGTTTTATTCTGATCCAGACAAGATAGAATTTTATTCTAAATTTTTAGTTGAAGTCTTTGACCTTATTACGATTGGTCCAGAAACTAAAACCACGAACACCAAAAGAAACAGAAATTGACAGAAACAAAGCCATACTTGTCATCAGGAGGACATTTATTTTCCAATAACTTGCAAAGAAATAATTAGCAAAAACAAAGCAGTTCTAGTTCTACACACATTTGATGTTATATTTGAGCCCCAATAGGAGCCAAATGCATTAGCGATAACCCTTCTCTGAAACACTCAACAACCCAAAACATGGCCTCGTCTTTCCGTTCAGCTACCCAGAATATGGCCTCTTCGTCCCGTGGTCTGCTCACGCTCTTTCCCGACCTCAACGAGTCAACAAGAGAGATAACTGGTGCGGTGGCCAGTGAACCTCAACCAAGCGCCTCTGGTTTTGCTCCGTTGAACTTTCCGATGCGGTCGGTGGAGCAAAAAATGGCGGTGCAAACTGATATTGAGGCCAATCAGTATACTTTGAAGTCATGTGTGGAAACCATGACTGCGGTCACAAACTTGTCGCACCGGCTGCAGAGCAGGACAAATGAGGTGCAACAGTTAAACTCCCAGCTGGCTCTGCTCCAACGCATGTATAAGGATGCGCGAGCAGAGATAAGTGTGCTAAAGGCAGAAAACAAGGAGCTGAAGCGGAAGGCCACCATGATGTTCCGATTTGGAGGTCCACCATATGCTGCAGTGGAGGAGCAGGGAGTAGTGATCGTGCCCAGTGGAGTGGGAAGCACGGAGGCAACACCGTCAAGGGCCGCCCAGGACGGAGGCAAAAAGAAAAGACCGGCGGCAGAGTAGAGAAGAAGTGAGGTCGATGTATGGCCGCTGCAGAAAACAAAGCTTGTGTTGTTGTTTGTTTGTTGGTTTGTTTCTTTTTTTTTTTTTTTTTATTTTTTTTTTCGGTGTAAAATTGTGATCGGGGTGGATCCCTGAGATGAATAAAATAGGGGTTGTTGTGCAAATTTGTAAATGTTTGTTGGTTTTTTTTTTTTTTTTTTTTTTTTGGTTGTGAAAAAAAGTGATTCGAAAAAAAAAAAAAAAAAAAAAAAAAAAAAAAAAAAAAAAAAAAAAAAAAATCTGGAAATCAGCCAGACATCCGGGTGGTCTACCGGGTGGACATCCGGGTGGTCTACCGGGTGGTCTTCCTTTGGACAGAAAACACGCCTGTGTGCACAGAGTTCTCTGCAGAGAGTGTAGAAAATTGATTTGAAAACGTAACCAAACATCATGCTCCAAAACACACGTAGAAAATTGATTTGAGAATACAAACAAACAGAGCCATTAGATGCCTTTTCGACTGTAACTTCATATTTGTTTGCAGAAGCTTCCTTCAGCACACTATAAAGCTGAAATCGTTGAAGAATGAATGCCTTTTAAGTAATGATGAATGATAAAAGACCACCAAGAAATAAGGGTGAATAAATGCTTCATGTGCAAGAAGTAACTCTAATAGGTTACACGGGGAAAATTTGATAAATAGCTGAAAATGTTAGCTACAAGCCAGTGATTGTACTGTGAGCATTTGGGGGAAGTAAATGTGATGTAGACCGTAAAAATAAATGTTAAAGGAAGGAAAAGTCCCCACACCCAAAGAAAAGAAAGCAAACCCTATATCTCAATATCAATATTCTCAATTCAATATTCAAGTCTACCTACCTAAACCTATTACATATAGCCTATTTATAAGCATCCAAAGAAAGCCCTAATTAATACTTTCCAAAGATGAAACCACCATAATTAAAGACCAACAAGACAATAAAATTATAAATAAAAAATAACAATAAACTAATCCCTAATCTTCGTCCAATTCTTTTATGTTCCCCATCAAAATGCTTCCTGGATTTTATTTATCAAAAAAAAAAGAAAAAGAAATGCTTCCTGGATTCTAAGTTATTCTACTTTGATATATGACAACTTATAGGTCTGATTTGAGGGATAGGTTCCGTTGTTGTGATTCTAGTAATATGTGCTATCATAGGTCTTGTCTAGTAAGGGAAAACCTCAAGGAATTAAACTTCTGACAGGCTTGGCTACATTCTCAATCCTCCATTTGGAATCAAAGTTGTAGGAGAGTACTAGTATCACATGAGAATATTTGGAGAACAATAGAAGATCTGATGTTTTAGTATGATGGCATAAAATGTAAAATGTATTCAATTGGAGAATGGGATTTCAAATAATAAAGCATGATTAGTTCATTATCACTGCATGGTTGATGGGGCACTTTCTAATTTCTCCTTGTAATTCAAGTGAAGGCTGTTCTTGCAACCTTAGTATCCTTGCTAACAGGACCCTTTATGAATAAAGGTTTTAGCTGTGTCCAAAACCTTGATACGTGCCAACATTCGGACAGTGATATTCCTTTTGATGTTCTGATATAGCTGATTCAAGCAGTGTATTTGTAGAGGTGACTAGTTGTCATGTAAAGAATACAAATGTTGAGGTCCTGAAATTTATAATTTTTTTTTCCCCCCTTTCTTTCATATGTTTCAAACTCATCTTCTAACTTTTTACTTGAGTAATGAATCGTGGAATTATTATTATTCTTTATTAATTTTTAAATTTGGCTGTTGAATAAAATCCCTTTCTACTTTATTATATGAGATCATGGGCTCGAATTCTTACCAGTTGTTGATATTTTGATAAGTTCTGATAAAAGTACTAATTTCAATTTTAAAATAGTGTTTACAGCGAGTTTTTAAACATCGGTTTGTCTGATGCAGCTTTTCATTCTACATAAGCTCATAGGTTCCGCTTCGGCCTTAGACGCGTGTAAAGACAAAGAAGGCGGTTCACTGGTTTTGCAATTGTTGTTTGTATTTTTTACATCGAAGAACCAAAGCTACTATTAGTTCAGTTAGTTCTTTGGGGATGCGAAGAAGCAGAAGGAATTTCTTTTTCTTTTTAATTTTTTTTCTGCTCTTACCCACATCACCTCCCCATTTCTATCAGTTTCAGGAGGCATGGAAAAGAGTTTTTTTTTTTTTTTTTGGTATATTTTAAATCCTTAAGGGGGTTTATTTTTTTTTTTTTTTTTTTTTTTTTGGGGGGGGGAAAGTAAGGGAATCGAATAAAAAAAAATATGGAGATGGTGATGAAATGATAAGCATGGTGATGATGAATATATAATAATGAATAAAAATAGAGCACCAATTAAAAAAGAAAATGTGGGCGGTGGATGGGTGTGAAAAAAAAGAAAAGTGAGTGAGAGTCGAGGGTTGGGTTGTGTGGGTGGAGAATAAAGAAAAGAAAAGAAAGGAAAGGGGATCACGTGGGAGACAACGGAAAGGGAATCATGTCTGAAAAATCAGACATGGGAGCTGCTCCTGAATGACCCGAGAGGCATGGACAAAAGCAAGAATGTACCCATCATCTTCATTTTCTGAATTGGGGTTTCTTGGAAGAAACAGAGGCTCACCACCATACTTGTCATCACCATACATGAACTTGTTCACTTCACCAGAAAACAAGTCGACTTTAGCGAAACCAGAGACTTTAGGCCATGGCTCAGCGATCGCAAGGTAAGCGAACTGGGTTTTGCGTCCGAGTTTGTTCCGATTCACCATCCCAGCTTCTAAATTGACTTGATCAGACTCGCTCATGATGGGTCTGCGAGTGGACTTGCCAGTCTTCAAATTGAGCCTGATTTCTGATAAAACAGACTGTAACCCCTCGTCACATTTGTTGAAAATCGAGTCCGGTGGAGTCATACAGGACCCGATCACCACCACTTCGTCGGTCTCGGGCTCTTCCTAAGCATTCCAAAGATGGAAACAAAAGCAATCCGGAGCTTCAAGGGTGAGAATCGGAAGTACTTGAGGTACGGCTTTTGAATGACATTGTAGCTTAGAGCGAAGAGCTCGCCAGAAATTGGGTCGAGCTTGGGGTGAGCAATCATGGTGGTTTCGAGCTGATCATCGAAATTGTACCGACCAACTGTTTCCAGATCACCGGAGGGAGTGACTCTGATGGGGTACGGTAAATCGTCTTTGGACATGGCGAGTAATCGGCCGTTGAAGTAAACGAGTCCGGCGTTGGCTACGCCGGTGCCGTGGCAGTGATCGACTAGCCCGAATAGCCCGCGAGCATAGAATAGCAATAGCCGAGCAATACCGGAGTGGCCGTGGAGTTCGCCGATAGCTTTGGGGAATACCGGACGGCCTAAATCTCGTTCCTGAACGAATCGCTGTGTCTCAGTGAACCGGCAAGCATAGCTGGCCGCGCCACCACGTAACTCGACGGCGTGGACCATGCCGTCGCCGTCGAAGAAGTGGTGGCCGGCGACGGGCTCAAACAATGGGTTTGCTCCGTTCCGGACGTAGACTCCTTCAATGCATTCCGGTATTTTCCCGGTGACCGGAAGGTGATGCCGGACGGGTTGTTCCGGTACCGGAGCGAAATTGCCGGAGATTTGGACTCCCGGGTCGGCTGTTTTCGGAAGAGGATGCTCCTTCTCACGTGCCACCAACCCGGTCTCCACCGCGTCCAAAGCCGCCGCCGCCGCTCTCTGTAAGAAATTCCATTTCGGAGACAGCGATGACGGATTTAATGTATTCTCGTTTGGGCAAGTCGGGATAGTAACGGTGGTAGCGATAGTAGTGGTAGCGATAATGGCAATAACAGGAGTTGGTGGAGTTGGTGTTTGATATGTTGATAGCTTTGGATTGTGTTGGTGGTGTGGTCTATTGGGCTTAGCTAAAGAGATTGAGCTAGAGAGAGAGCCCAATTCAAGTGACGGAGTAGAGGGTTTGGGCTTAGCCCATGTACTTGAAGCTGTTGCAGTAGCTGAAGAAGCCATGGAATCCCTATTTTGTTTGAGTGGTTTTTGTAGTGTGTTGTAGTGAGATGTAATGTGAGAGTTGGCAGTGATGAGAGAGAGAGAGAGAGAGAGAGAGAGAGAGAGTAGTTTGAGTTTTGGGGGGAGAAGGATAGAGAGAGAGGGAGGTATATATAGAGAGAGAAGTTGGGGTGGAGGCCCAGCTCCAACGTGTAGGAGAAGCCACGTGTTGATTTGTGGAAGGGAGGGGGGACTCAGAAAGATTGACGAGGAAATCGAAATATGGAGGCTGCGGGACATAGATGCTTCAAATATTGACACGACCTCCTCCTCTCTCTCTCACTCACCTTTTATATATGTGCATTTATAATGTGCTATACCTACTATTATCAAATTTTATACTATTGGTCCAATAATTAGGTTAAAAGTTAAAATGTTAGTTTTTTTAATCATATTTATTTTTTTATTTTTTATTTTTTTTTTGAAAAATAATCAAACAAAAAGTTAAAAACTATCTTTTAACTTATTTTCTAAAATAGGTCTTAAAAATGTAATTATAGCCTATTTTGAAAAGTTTAAAAAAAATTAATTTTTTTACTTTTTTTGATATTTTTTAAAATGTGTAAAAAAAAATGATGTGACCAAATGAATTTCTTATAGTTGCCAAAATAGGCATATTTTTAAGAAAAATTATATATCAATATATTTTTTAAAAACTAATTAGAAATCTGTAAAAAAAAAAAAAAAAAAAAAAAAAAAAA